ACGTTTACCACCCGACAATGCCGACACTATAATTTTTTTGAACAAAAATATGAACTGGTAAAATAATTTTATAAACAAAAATATTTTGTGTAGTATAATATATAGCTAAAATTCTTTACATTTACGAATAAGATTGTGATAATTTGTAATGTTTATGAACATGACGCAGACAATAAATTTATCGAGAATATGTCGTTATTATTTGACTGTTCTTAAAAACATGTCGTTAAGAGTGGAAGAAAAAAAAAATTCATTTCGTATCACTGACATTAGGTCTTTCCTTCCCTTTCGTTATAATAAGTTTCATTTTCCTATTCCTTTCTTTTCGTTTTGATTCTTATCGACATGTTTTTGGTCGGAAAAAAATAGAATAGCAAAACGAAAAAGATATAAAACATGTTCTTTCGTTCTCTTATTACGCAACTTACATCTTTCGTCCCATCTCTACGTGATATACCTGAGCCGAATACTCCACGCGATGAAGAAATGGTGGACTATTGGTATATCCCGGATTCTGTGGTGGACGTGATGGGCATACGAAAGAGATAATGTAGAACGCACATAATTCATTATTTGTTTTTCTGTGTATACTTCTAGCCGCTCGACAACGATTTATTGATGAATATGGACGTTAATGATTATTAGCATTATGATTAGCATTAAACTATCGTCAATTATTAGATGGTAAGTGGTTCAAATTTCTTTTAAGGCTAGAAAATCAGTTAGTTAGTAGAGATTAAGTTGATGATCATCATCATCATCGTTTTTCTTTTGATCTGATGGATTGTTTTCCTTTTGATACTTGATAACTAACGGAAAGGAAAGAAAACGAAATGTTACGTAAGAAACGGGAAAAACAAATGGCAGCTTGTCTGTCTGACAGATAACCATTTCGTAAGACCCTAGACTAAAGTCAAGAGAAAAATAAATTTATCGACCAGAGTGTTTTATTTTTATTTTTAAACAGAATAAGTCGTATATAATGTGAAAAAACTGTCAGTGTTGTCTTGTAAATATGTACCAGTCATATTTTCACAAGACTTATTGAGTAAGAGAGTTAACCAGTTAGATGAATCGTAGTTTACTGTAGATTGGCAATATTTGATCTCAGATTCTATTCGCGATGGACGGGTATGTCTGTTTGCTTTCTCAGTAAATAGATAATGAAGTTAAATCTATAGTAAACATAGTTCTATAATCTCGGGTGCTCTCGATGATGTTTATTTGTAATTCTTTAGTTCGATTTTGAAATAGTTACAAAATGGAAACGATTCTTGGTGGTCGAGCTCCAACTCAACAATTATTTCACAAGCAATCAGGAGCGGGTGGCGCATGGGAGATTCATGGTCCACAACCAGCCATTTTTAAATGTGTTGATCAAGGTCTGTTTCATGGAGATGTGTTGGATATTGGATCAGGTGTTGAGGATAATGCCCAATATATAGCCACACACAGTAACTCCAACGTTATTTGTATTGATATGGTATGTAAGATATCTGAAGGTAAACAAGCGCTTAAGTTTTCTTTAGTCTAGGTTCCTCTAGCTCTTCAAGTAACAAAAGCCCACCTGGCCAATGTCTCTGAATCAAATCGTCAGTTTGCTCTTGTTAATATTCTTGAACCAACTGACTCGTCGAGTCGACTATATAATCATCTATTTGATGTTATTTTGGATTCCAATCTTTTCCATTGTTTTTCAGATGAACATCGTTTAGTCTACATGGAACGATTGAAACAGTTAGTCAAGCCAAATGGTCTCTACATTCAACTCGTTTTCAGTGAAAAAGAAACATGTACAGATAGACCAAAAAGAATCAGACAAGCAGATATTGAACAACTGTTTTCACAACAGAATGGCTGGTATATTGAATCAATGGAAGACGTCTTCTATGATACCACTGCTAATATTATAGATGGTCAAGGACGTGTTTATTTGACATTAGTCGGACGAATATAAATTATAATAGTGTGAGAGTGAGTTCGAAAGGTAGCTGCACGTAGTATAAATTTACTTCAACTGCTGAGATACTTATCTGTTATGAAATTAGTTAAGGATAAAACGGGTGAGTGCTCAACCTCACCTTCTACAATTCAGTAGACGAACATCAATCGATGTTTTTTCCTTTCTGGTAGATCTTCCTTTTTGCTATATTACGGGAAAGTTTAGATTTTGTACATAATGAAACGTTGCTTGAGAAGTCTAAATAATGTTGATGACATAGTAAAAACCATCTCTGAAAATATCGTATTTTGGAAAAATTCAAAATTCAACATTGTTGACAAAAAAATATATGGTACACTTAACCTAAATTTTGTTGGCTAATTATAACGGAACCTGCTTAAAGAAAAACTTAATTTTGTGTCATGTTGTGGTCTGTAGAAAAATATTGGATTCTTTGACAAGTCGTCTGTTAACAAATGAAACTGGACTTTTTAAATGGAACCAGAAGTTAAAGTTTTTACACCGTCTAGTGTAGAGACATAAATGAGGCACAAATGCAGGTTAAAAATTAATAAAAATCAGAAAAATATATCAGATAGATACAAAATAGATAAGTCAATTTGTTATATTTATTTTGATTGTTATGGATATTGCTAAATTTTAATTTTATTTATTTGCAATCGTAATAGAAAAGCTAATTACAACAAGAATATTACAAATATAATTCTTTATAATAAATGTAAAGTATTTATCTGTATCTGTGAATGAAAAAGAAATTTTTACTGGTTTTATTGTACGTCTAAGAAAAAACGTCCAAGAAAGCAGATATGAACTGCAAACAATCCGAATAAAAATAAACTGCATATCATGTTAAGCAACTGAGAAGTGAGTTGTATATTGACTTCAATAGAATCCTGTGACGCTCCCTGATCAGCGTATAGTTATAAAACACCTGGTAATTTGAACGATCAGAGACGCTCTAATATTTTCTGCTAAATAATCTTACTTCATACAGATGGTCAAAATTTGGGAAAAAGCTGATGGCAGCTTTGGATGTGAGCTTACATTTGAAGTGGCGTCAGAGTAAGGGCACTTAACAACGCGAATAAAAAATTATTTTTCTGCAATTTTCTATTCCAGATTTTATATTCTCTTAACGGAGCCATCGATCAACGATTGGTCACGTTGGAGACTATAGAATCTTCGAGCAGCATGTGGGATGATGTTTTCGTTCGTTCCATGTCGTATTCTGATGCAGCTGTCAGTAGACGCATGTTGAGTGGAATCAGTACACATCGTCTTCTGAGCTCCATCATAGGGCTCCCGCGCGAAATGTTTACCGATGCTGTTCTGGAACGCGCTGGTGAACCTGACCCTTGCTTCAGCATGGCAGCTTCTATAGATGGAGTCGCTCGGTTCAGAGCCAAAACCAAATGGCATTCACTGCACACAACCCTTTATGTGGATAGCCACACGATGCTGCCCAATTTTCTATTGAACCATCTTTGTGATCGCAGCGAAATGGCTCATTCAGTGGAAGCCCGTGTACCATACCTGGATCATCATTTAACAGAATACGTCAACCAATTGCCTCCATCTGTGAAGATTAAGTATCCCACTGCGAAGTGGATTCTACGTGAAGCCGCCAACCATACATTAGTGACGAATTGTATCGTCGCGTGAAACATCCTTTCTTTGCCCCTCCTGCAGAATCCAAAGATACACCTCATGGCATCTACTTGAAGAAACGGCTTACTTGCGAGGCAGTTGAGGTGCTTGGTTGGCTTCGTTGGGATTATGTGGAGGAAATGAAAGTGTCCTACTTCGAACACCAAAGCAGAAGCGCTCAGAATATCTTAAATATTATTCTCTCAGTGATGGTGATCAGTGAAAAGTTTTGCGTGAAGCCCTATGGCAAAGAATAAATGTTAACCGTTATTTGATAAATTCAATAAATGTTCTCCAAAATTGAAAAAAATTGCTTTTTTTCAGATATTTTGATGACAGACTATAAGGTATTGATGTTTCTATTGTATGATCAATCACTCGTATAATTGAGAGGAAAAAAGGTAGATGTCTGTGTATATTTTCGAGCGGTTCAGTCTCCCGAATGGCATTTCTGTGCGTGTTTAGTTGTATGTTTTCGAGACTTTTGTGCACGATTGAACAGTTGCCAGCTGCAACGAATCATTCAGAATAGAAGGTTTTCTCGATGTTAACAAAATTCAAGAGCGATGTTTAACAGCAAACCGCCGCCGTATGTTGAAAACTACAATTACGGCTTCCATTTTTTAAGAGGATAGGAAGTGTATTGGACATTGGCTGGTTACGTCGGGCGCCCGAACATCCGTTTACAGATGTGTGTCAAAAGGAAAGTGATTGTGGCAGACACAGAATCAAATTCTCAATTGATTGTAAATTCGGTTATGTATCTGACACAGACAGTTTTCTTTTTGACACAGCTCTGTGAGCGAATGTGAACGAAGGCGTACGGCCTCGACCAATCGATTGGGAACAACAGTGATAATTTCTTCTGTCGAGCGAGTCTCGATAACGTTTTATCTGCATAATCTGCGTCCCCACACTGAAGCAATTGTTAATACCGTATCACATACTATTCTCCCAGAGTATGTATACAAGCATCAAAGCGAAAGCAAAAATTTAACTCTAGGAAATACTCGCCTGAAACTTCGTCGTTTTTTAGTTTTTTTCTCAACAGTTTGGAAGATACTTCAATGGCTAACCCTTGACTGAACACACTACCTAACTACAAAATCGGACACACAGTAAAGACTCTAACAACGGAATTTTTGGAATTACAACAATAATTTGTTACTAAGTCAAGGGTAATCCGCTCTTTTTTCAACTTATTGTCAAATACGGAATACACGCTCGATTGAGCTCAAATTTATACCAAAGATAGAACATCGAAAACGTAAATCGATGTATTTTTGCACAGAATTTTTCGAGATGTTCTTATATGGTTTTTCTTTAAAAGCTTCAGTTTGCATCCAGTCACATAACAGATACGTCACAAATAGAGACGTGTATCGAAAAAAGTCCTCGACAGTTGATCGACAGTTTAGGAAGTTTTTCTTATGAAATGATGTTGTTTGTCAAATCACGAAAGCATTCTCGTAAATTTCGGGCAAAAGAGTATTTTTCTCCTAAGCAGTTTTTAGATTTTTACGACAAATCATGACTTTTCACTACTTTTCTAAGTTGTACCGAAGTACCATGATAAGAAGAAATTTTTTTTTCATTTGTTGTGATTGGACCTTGCCGTCAGCGTCAACGACGATAGCCTGTGTGACGTTAATTTCTTCAATGACTAGATACTGCTAAGACTCGAACGTTAGCGTGCATTTTTTACTCAATTTTCCTTTGTTCATTTCTTATGTAGTCCTTTGAGTGAAATTCTAGACCTAGCATTCTGAGAAGCGAATGACTCGACAAAACTTGGGGATCTTTATCAAGAAAAGATTAAATAAACTTTTAATATGGAGTAACTCTTCCATATCTTATTTCCCTAAGGAGTAATCCGATCGGATTTAATACTACGGAGGTATAATATCAATGTCATGATGGACGAAATCTGTGAAATATCGAATTCCAACACATTTTTCTTCCAGTTTCTATTTATACTTGAACCGTTTTTAAACTTTTCATTATTTGACTACTACTTGAGCAAAACAGCCTGTTTTCTACATCGAATTTTATTGAAGAAGATTGATTCAAATAAGGTCAGCAGAACTCTGGCATAATAAACACCACATCGGAAAAAAAAGGAATACTCTTTTTCGGTTAAAATGCCACCTAGCCGGGCGTGTCATCTGACCGAAGATTTTTAAAGCTATTCATAATACCTGATTCACTTAAGAAAGTCGAAAAAAGTTTCAGTGAAACCGCTTCTAAAATTCAAAAAACTTTCAAATATTTGTCGTTTTGAGTTTGCTACTGGCGAGCGATAAAGCATGTTTAATTGAATATAAATCGATTCAAGACAGAACAACAGCACAATCGGTCCTATTAGATTTATCAAATTGCTTTCTAATAATCCATGGGAAATTTGACTGGAAACATTTGGCTTCTTCCGCTGAACCATACGTTGAACGTGATCCTGATACGGATTCAAACTCTGATGAATTTGCGCATGGGTTAAGCATTATGTTGAATTGTATATTCCATCGGCATCACTATACTTAGGCATTGACATTTACGATATGCCTGAATTTTTATATCATGATTCTGAAATATTACAAACTAATTTGCACGAACTAGTTCGTACAATTGATCTGTCGCTTGTATTGATGTATGATAATGCAGTGATCGATGAAGATACTCACAACTGTTTTCTGGCACTAAAGCAAGCATTAGGAAATCTTGAATATATTCATATTTTCATTCTTAATACAAAGGTTGATATAGTAGTAATATATAGTGAGAGACGACTCGATAAGCAGCACCCTATTAATAATTTTCAATGACATTTTACTCGAGAAGCGTACAAAACGTTACAATTTATTACGAGAGGCACCAACAATGTGCAACGAAGTTCCAGGTGATCTGCACAAAACTTGAATATGTGTAACTGTTTTGATATTTGTACTATTCCGTTAATGAGACATCCGTAGCATCGATATTATGCCGAAGTAGTAAATATTTCGACAGTTGAACGTCTTATTCATTCTAGTATGAAACGGAAGTTAGAAAAAGTTTATCATTTATCATTAGTGGTCATACATCATTGCATCATGTTCTCTGATGTCACGTTGTTAACCAGTAATTTAAATTGCACCAGAGAAATGGTTGCAGTTTTGTGACACTGCGACTAAATGGTGTAAGGAATTTTTTCGAAAATTTGAGCAACAATTATCGAGAACTATTAAAGAATTGTCTAAGAAGATTTATAAGATATTAGATAAAATATGACTTTATACTGTGGAAGTGTGAAACAATGAGCAGAAATAATACTTTGAAAGATATACGTAAAGTTAAAAATTTTATTAAAATTATTGTCAAAGAAGATATAATTAAATGTAGCTATTAATGAAACCGTATTTCAATTTACTGGAAATTTAAAAAGTTGATAGACAGGTATTTTTTATCGTCATTTAATAATGAAAAAAATGAAGCAAAAACAAAAAATGAAACACAAATGAAATATATACACGGAATGAAGATTTAGCCGATGTATCAGTAAATACTTCAGCAATTAATAACGTATTTATGCCTGCTATCTGTAGTATGATGTTAGTAAGACAACTTATTTCAACTGTAATAAAAGTTAAAAAAAATGATGAGAAAAATGTATTGCTAGGCGTGGACCTATCTACTAAAATTAAACTAAAAGACTTCATTGATTTAGTTCAGAATTTATGGAATTAACCAAAACGTAAAGAATTTGCTTATGAATATTTATTATGAATGAAACGAAATATACTTGACCAACAAGGTAAATTTAAGAATAATCTTCTTCAATGGTGTCAGAAACGAAAAGATTTATTCAAAAACAAAGTCGAGTCAGTGTACAATTATACCTTACAAAATATATCTGTGAGACAGAGAATCTATGCTTTAGCCAATTCTTATGTTAAGGAATTTGCTAACTATTGAATGTCGATTAGCAGCCATAGAAGATCTAGCGAAGTTCAGTTGTTACTGACCTATAATTCATATTGATGAACAACAGCAGCCTATAGGTGAACAAACATTTTTCACTGTTCATCGTGCACAGATATTCGGTGATAATAGAAGTTACGTTGTTAAGAAACTAAAGCCTGAAATGTTACACACAAATCCCGAAATTCAATATTTAAAACCTTATTATCATCAAAAAATAATGAATTTAAAAAATATTAAATTAAATTAAATAAAATGTTCCAATCAATAAAAATACGATCGGCTACTTTGCACACGTTATTTGAATCCCACTTATACAGAAAACATAAATAAACATAATTTGTAGTAGTTCAAAAATAAGTGGAATAACCGCTTGTCCAATGAAATTGGATACAATAAATAGTACTTTTCCTGAAGGTTCAATGTTTGTTATATAACTAACACATTCGTCAGCATCGTCAAAAGTAGTATTAATATACATCTGTAGTCGAGTCGAATATTGTTGCTTAAGCATTTACTGGGATAAAGCTATACAATAATAAATTGTTCGAGCTGATATTCTATTCCAGGAAGTAGTTCTTTGGCAAGCATAGTCAAATCTATAGTCATTAAACCATCTATATTCGTTATTGACGTAGTGTTATGAAATATTTTTAATTTTTATTCATCGACTTTAAATGAATGAATGATTTTTTCGATTAGCGTCCGTGAGTATTTCATTGTCAAATATCTTGAAAAAGTATTGATGATAACTGTTTTGATTTCCACGAACAATTTAGTACAATTTTTCTCTTTTGATTAAGTTGTTAAAAAAAGTAGTATACTGTGTTTGTGAAAAAGTCAATATTAGATATTTCCGTATCAGGCTAGAGTAAATCGTAAATTTCATCTCACGCAGTGGTTGAAATCGGCAGAAAGTGTTTTGCTCCCTGATTTCTCTTTAAAAGAGGATCCAGCACCATATCGACAAAGCCCTCCGCCATAGATGTAATTTCGATTTTCGATTCGCGCATTTCATATGCAAGCCTGTGTAGAAAAACCTCTAAATTTAAGATGTTAGCCCGTTCTGATTAGCCTTTAAAAAACGTCATGGATCAGAACAATCCGAGTCTTGAGACTTTACCCGAAAAAATAAATTTTTTCATGTCTGATCGTCTTTCGATACTCTCCGCACTGTATGGACCGTATCAGCCGAGAGATGTCGTAAAACACAGAAAGTGTTTTCTCTGTACGAAATACACTATAAGTTCATTTTCGCTACACTTACTATTATCTGGTAGGTATGATCAGTACTAAAGGACAAATCATAATGACCTATTGTATCAGCCACGCAGTTACTTGGCTCTACACAAACAATAGTCATCTGTCCCAAAAATTTTCTTGTTGATTTTGGAATTATCTTTCTAAATAGATCACCATCTCCAATTGTAAATTCTGATTTTGACCTGGCCAAGGTTAGAATCCACTTCTGGCGGACAGATTCCCGATTTGGTCAGCCAGAGTTAGAAATCCAGTTTGGGCCGACCAAATTTAGAATTCTTCATATGCAGACATTTCAATTCTAAGTTTGGCCATCCAAATTCGGAATCTGGCGGAATTCTAAGTTGGGCCGCAGTATATATATCGATTAGAGAAAGTTCTATTTTTGATGTGCAAAAAATGAGTTATATATTCTGTGTCTCATATCGATTCAAAGCAATGTTAAGCATTATTTCAAAATTAAAATTACCAAATAGTATTCTTCCTTAGGAAATCTTTTTTGAACCTGAGTTATCCATAGTATATTCTGCCCGCGTCTCTCGAAATCTTTTTCTCCGTCAACAGAAATATGACGAATAAAAACTTGATATCTTCTTCTTTCTACTATACCGAAGTTAAAGGATATGTCTTCTTATGGAAAGCTTAACCAGCGAAGTTACGTGGACAAGCCGTTCATTTAATCCTTTCCGTTTCAGTGCTCTTTTTCAAAACGTTTTTGTGAGTACTGGCTTTTAACTGAATAGCTCAGTTAACTAGAACAGATAGTCTGTCGGTTTACACAAAACAATCTTCAACATATGTTGTACGATCAACTGATAAGGAACAGTAACATCACGTTGTAACAATAGATTTCTCATCACCAGACATTGAAACGATAGAAAATGCTAATACAACGAAAAGAATCTCTTCGAATTGCAAAAAAAACGTGGAAAAAGTACGTAAACGTCGCCAGTATTCTGAACCAGCACAGTCGTATTTTGTAAAACCGATAACAACAGCTTTACAATCGACACCACATCAGTTTCCAATTCACTATATCAGGATATTCCACAACCGATGAAACCATATTTCCAGTGCAAGAATCCATGATACCTACCAAATCAACGTACATGGGTTTCCCGTCAACAAGCAAGTTCGCAACAATCAACAAAAGCCGTTGAGTCCATCATTACAAAAGTCGAATCACTACGATCCTTGTCTCACACGTACTTGAATTAATCATCGAATAATAGATTGTTATTATAAAAAAAACCCATTCTTCTTATAAATCTGATCAACCCGGTCATTGTGTACGGGGTTACCCGCCGATTTCCTCTAACTGGGATCCGTGATGGTGGTGATCCCAATATACAAAATCCTTCAAAAGCCTCATCATTATCGTCAAGTTCAAGTAAATGTAACACCGCAACGTGCAATCGTCGATACCGGATCCGCTGTCACCATCATAAATCAAAGTAATACTTCTGTTTTTCCGTAAAATCGATCCCCATCTCCTTATGGTAGGAATAATAATAGTTTTAGAGTGTATCAGTGATAGCCGTGGTTCAGCTTTGCCAGAAGTCTGATCAAAGAAGTTATTCAAAGTTTTAAGACTGTAATCTTTAGCCATAATATAAGATCATCCCGTACTAGAAGACCACTGTCGATTCTATGACATGAAGGTCATGATCTTCCATTTCCTATAAAAACCATTACTGATAAAAACGTTCTGAAAAATAGCAACGAAACGGAAACAATTAGATGAACGGCTTGTCCACGCAACGCGACACTTCGCTGATTTAGTTTTAATTCCATAGTCTGAAAAAACTGTTTATGCTATCTTGTAGAGCGTGGTCGATTGTCTAGGAAAACATGCTTTCTTTTCGCCCGAGTGACTCTAGAAGCATAGAAACGGAGCACAATAATTAGGAAGTACAAGTGTATTCGTTGTATCTTTCATACTTCTTGTTTCTTAGTAGTGTCGTGGCTCAAGGACTTGCTTTGACAATTTTATTAGACATGGTCCATGGACTATCGAATATGGGCTTTCTTTTGGCGAAAGAATGAACTGTTTTTATTCCATGTACATTGAGATATAGCCAAAAGAGTACTTGATCAATTCGATTGTCATGACGTTACGAAAAGACCTTTTAAAAATTTTGGTAAGCAACCTACATACTTTCGGTAAACAAGCTAGTGCACTATAGCCAGCTTTTCATGGACTCCAGCGAACTACTTTTTCTCAAAAAGATCGCATCTGAAGGCAGATAAGCGTAACTCCGTGACAAAAACCTGATAGTTGGTGCTTTTTTGAGTTTCATAAGTGACTGTTATTTTCGACAGTATAAGTGACGAACAACACTCACAAGTACTTAAAATTTAATTTCAGCCATAATTTCACTTAATTAGCTCTGAACTTCTGTAAAAACTTGTTGTTCTTTATTTATTTTTCACGTTTTTCGCTAGGATCATCTCAAAACTTAATATAATTCTTACAAATTTAGAATCAGCGTGAAATTCTACGCTGAATGATGTAATGTAGATGTAGTATTTTCGCGCAAGTTTTAGACCAAAAGGATAAGAAAATGAGTTATTTAAAAGATGACTCATCTTTTCTTTTTCTGTTTTTTCCTTTCACCCTTTTATTTTGTCAGCGCAGAATATATAAATAGGAGACAAAGAATGAACAGATTTTAATTTCCGTAAATAAAAAAACTCGTGATCGTAAAAAGTTAAATAGAAATACATTAACTGGTCCACAGTTAACACAATTTCGTGCTCAAAATAATATTCATCAACACAAATGTTGTAGAAATAAAATTAAACGTTTAACTAGAAAACCACCATCATCTTCTTTCAAAACTCGTCAATCATTTGTCAAAGCATTAACAAAAGTTACTTCTTCTCTTCCTAAATGTGACTTAAAGAAAAAAGCTGTTGTTCAACATTTAGCACAAGAATTTGGACTAATTTCTAAACCAACGCATCAACGTTCATCACTTCAGCTTTCAGATAAATTAAAAAAAGTCGTTCACAGTTTTTATATTCAAGATGATATTTCATATCAATTGCCAGGAAAAGGTGATACGATTGTAGTCAAAGATGATTTAGGTAATATAACAACTTCTCGAAAACGAATTTTGTTTTATAATTTATGTGAAAATTATGAATTGTTTAAAGAGGAAAATAAAAATATTAATTTAAATCGTTCTACTTTTGCTGTATTAAGACCGCCATTTGTCGTTCCAAAGGCTTATTTGGCTCATCGAATTTGTGTTTATTTATATCAAAAAATGTTCATCTTCTTTTAAAACCATTGGATAAATACGTTAACGACGGTGCTTGTAGTTCATTGCAATATTTTACAGATTCTCTAGTTTGTAATTCATCTAATGAGGGCTGTATGTTTATTTTCTGTCAAGACCTGATTATACGACAAACACTAATCTGCAATGGTTTTCTTGTATTACACTAAAGAATTCAACAATATTTTTTAACATTCTTGTATTACTTGTTATTTTACCAAATATTAAATATCTAAATGTTCATACCATATGTCAGTCAGCGGATGAAAAGTATGATAAAAAATCATTTTCAAATTCATTATTAACCGACATTTGTTTACAATGCCTTGCGCCTTTAAAAGACTTGATATGGACTTACTTTCTTCGGATGGAGACGAAAATGCAGATGAAAAACAGGTAAAGTTTTGAACAGTTAGCTAAAGCTATATTTAAACCACAAACAGAGAGATTATGGATCAGATGTGGGCTATGGACTATCTTTAGCTCCCTCGCGGAGATCGCCTCGCAGACTTTCTGTCCCGTCACCGCCTCGTCCAGCGTCCACTATTATCTATCATAATGCACAGTGGTCGCGGTCATTCTTGTTAAAACTTTTTAACGGAACCAGATGAAGACTTGCGGCTTTCAGTGTCTTGGAGCTTGGACCCGACATGATCTTCCGAATGTATAAATCAATTCTACCAATGAGGTCTATCAAGGTGTACCTGATCGATGTTCCAAAGGCAATATTGTTGTTCCGTAACTTATCCTACAAGTATAATGCTAGAAAATACATCTAAAATCCGGCGACATCTGATCGACATATCGGCTAAAACCCGATATATCATGACACTCGACAGAACTGTTATAAACCAACATAAAATACTTTAGCTTTTCAAGAGGTTTTCTTGAAATCTGCAGAAATAATATATTTTACACTACTCTCACGATCACAGATGAAGCTGTCAGGTTTTAGCCGATATGTGGATCAGATGTCGCCGGATTTTAGGTGTATTTTCTAACATTATACTTGTATGATAAGTTACGGAACGGCAATATTGTCTTTCAAAAGATCGAAACTTGCAGAAAAACTACGATAACAATGAGAAAGAAGGAGACGAAAATAAGCAGTTGTATCAATATTTATCTGTAGTATCATTTGTGCCATATTAGCATAAAATTTTCTATAGTCGGTATCTTGTAGAATTGTACAATTGATGTTGAATTCTTGATTTGATTGAAGGTTAGATATCGATTGTTTTTTATAATTCGAATGCTCTAAGAGTGTTATTCTGATATTGATATCGTCATATGATAACCTTTGCACTATTGACTTTTTGCTCCTATGATTGACCTAAGCAGAAAACTTTGAAAATTTTACGAAGTTTTACTATGACAACTTCTACAGAAGACTTAGCATTATTCTATCTCTCGTTTTCTTTTATGTGTTCTTACGAAACTGACCGTCAGCCG